CACGGATCCCTGAGGAATAAATTCGTTTTTTCCAACTACTCCCCCTCCCATTCTTATCACTCTTCCCAAACCCATCCCATTCTACGATAACAATTATTATTATTATTATTATTAAACCTTAAAACGTACGAATCGTTTTAAAATTTAGTCTAAATAAAATTATTTCAATGTGGAAAATTTTTTTTCTTTTCTTTTTTCCCTATCATCGAATCATTTTCCGACATTTTAATTAATAATAATAATAATAATAATAATAATAATAATAATAATAACCAAGAAAATAAAGAAAATGAGATAATGGAAGAAGGGCAACTTGCAACTTATAATAGCAAAGCCCAATCTCAGAAGAAATTAAAAGGCAAATGGGAACAGAAAAAATTACATGGGCAATACCTAAAAAGAATAAATGCCGACGATATTAATAAGAAGAGCACGCACAATTGGCTACGACGTGGAAAACTTAAAATAGAAACAGAAGCGTTTATTACAGCGGCTCAAGATCAGGCATTGCGGACCCATAACTATGAAAAAGTAATTCTCAAAGTCCGCCAAGATGACAAGTGCCGAATTTGCCAATCACAATCGGAAACCATCGATCATTTAATTTCCGGTTGTCCGATACTGGCAAAACATGAATACTTAGAAAGGCACAATAAAATATGTCAATATCTCCATTGGAATATATGCCGAGAATATGGAATGGATGGATTACCCAAGGAGTGGTACAACCACATTCCAAGCCCGGTCACGACAGTAGGCCCATGCACAGTTCTATATGATCAACAAATCCACACTGATAGAACTGTGCCAGCTAACAAACCGGATATCATACTCAGGCATAATGGGGAAAAATGGTGTAAGTTAATTGAGGTATCCGTGCCGGCAGAAAAAAACACCACAGCCAAAGAAGCAGACAAAAGGCTGAAATACAGAAATTTGGAAATTGAAATAACCAGGATGTGGGGAACAAAAACTGAAACGATTCCGGTCATCGTGGGAGCATTGGGAGCCATGCCAAATTCAATAAAAGGAAATTTAAAGAAGATTATGAAGAACCTAAAAGAAGAAACCATCCAGGAAATCGCACTATGTGGGACGGCCCACATTCTTCGGAAAATATTATAAATAGCACCACCGATATTCGAGTATTTGTCCCTAAGGAATCGGGTAGAGACCTGGGATAAATGCTTAAAAACCCCGACAAATAAGAGCCTTGTCGTGTTTAAGAGTGACCATAATAATAATAGTAGTAATTAAAATAATCAATCAAAATTAATAAAAATAAATTAATTTCGAATCCAATTTTTTTTTTTTTTTTTTAAACTAATTAAAATCTCGATCCGTGTAATTTTATGCGTTTGGCAACCATTTATTCGTTGCCAAATTTAAAAAAAAAAAAATTCCCTCCCCCTCCCTTTCCTTACATTACGACAAATAAATATTTATTTACCGTATCCGCCATTTTCTTTCTTTAACACTCTTCCTTGACTGGTTGAGAAGCCGGTAGTGGGGGTAGAAGGGGGGGGGGAAAGAGAAACACATTTTTGGCGGGAAATCATAATCGTTTCTTTTTTCAAAATTCTTTTGTTGTTGTTGTTGTTGTTGTCGTTCTTGACTCGATTCTTAATAATTTGGTTTGGTGTGAAAAAGAAAAATGTTTTCTCCGACGTCCTTTCCTAAAAATAAAAATTTATATTACTCACATTTTTATTTTTAATACAAAACAAAACCGAACAACAACAGAAAACATAAAAAAACATAAAAAAACATAAAAAAACGAAACATTTTTTTTTTTCTTTTGCTTTGACCCAAATAATTTTTTTTATTCGCAAAGGATCGTGTGGGGGAATGGGGAAGGGAGGGGAAGAGGGTACATAGGGGAGAGGGAAGGGAGGAGAGTCGGGGGAAGAGAGAGAGAGAGAGAGAAGGAAACATAACCCAAAAAAAACACAAACACACACAATCGCAAAAAAAAAAAAAAAAAAAAATACGCAAATCAAATTTATTTTTGGCAATGTTTATTGTTGGCTTATTATGCACGTTGTATCTCCCCCCATACGTTCGTTCGTCCATTCGTCCGTTCGCCCGTTCGTTTTGTTTCTTTTTGTTTTTTCAACAAAAAAGAATAAATAAATAAGATAAGTTTACATAAACAAAAAAATTTTTTTTTTTAACGGTTATTTCTGTCGCAATTTTTTTTTTTTTTAAAACTCGGGTTCAGAATCGAAAAATTATAAATGTATTTTTTTCGTCCGACCCCGGCCCCCCACCACCCACCTACCCCCCTTTTGTTTTAAATTTCTCGTTCGCACGACCATTACCACCTTCCTAAATAATAATAATAATAATAATAATAATAATAATAATAATAATTAATAATCATTAAAAATTCATTCGATTTCACTGGAAATGAATAACGGAAACGGAAATAACGATTTGTTTTACTTGTCGTCTTTTTGTTTGTGTTTCCGTTTTGTTTTTTACAACGTACCCATCATTCAAATTATTTTTTTTTTTAAATTATTTTTTAATACTTTCGACCTTTTTTTTGGGGGGGGTGAGGGGTGGAAAAGGGGGGGAGGGAACCCGTTGTTAAAACTTGTACAAACTTATAAAAAAATTTCTTTTTTAAATGTAATTGAACTCCGACGTTCGTTCCTTTTTTTTTAAACGAATAACACGAACGTGTAGTAAATATGGATACTAATGAGGGAAAGAGAGAGAAAGAGAGAAAGAGAGAGAGAGAGAGAAAGATTTCTAAATTAGGCAAAACACGTTTTTTTTTTAAATCATTTTCTTAAAAAATTAAAATGATTAACCTCGTAATTTTTTTTTTCTCGTTTCCCCCCCCACCCCTCCTCTCATTTCTCATACGTCGGCCATTTTTTTTTTTTGTACGTTGAATTAGGAGATATATTATTTTGTTAAAAAACTAATGTAATTACCAAAGAACAAAATGCGAACTCCCAGGATGGCGAACTGATCTATTCTTGGCCCTCTCAACATCTCATCTGGGCTCAGTAGTGCGCTAGAAACTCGACGAACCAACAACCCAATCCAACCCTTTCATCGGTGGATTTTTTAATTATTTTTTTTTATCTATACGAAGGTAAGCTAAAACAAATATTTAATTTTAAAAAAAATTATTATTATTATCATTATCATCATTATTATCATTATTATTATCGATAACGAAATGAAATTTAACGTATTAATAATAATAATAATAATAATAATTAATGCTCGGATTTTGAACGACGTTTAAAATTTTTGACGAACGAATCCTTTTTATAATAATAATTATTATTATTATTATCATCATCATCATTATTATTATTTTAAATGTCATTTCAAATTTAAGAAGAAAAACGGAAAAAGAAAATTTCGATTATGATTGATTGATTGATTGATTGATTTGATTTGATTGATACGTGAATAAAATTTTTTTTCTTTCGGAAAATGACGTCACGGATTTTCTTTAATAATAATGATAATATGATGATTAAAATAAATTTTTTGATTTGATTTTTTTTTGTGGCTTTTCAAATATGGCGTAACAAATATGGCGTTAAAAAGAAAAAGAGAGAGAGAGAGAGGGAATTTAATTTTCCTTTGATAACGACAAAACGAATCGTGATAATTTGATTATCATTCATCGATAATAATCTTTTTTTTTTTGGAAAAGTGTTTTGACGATGTTCCTACGTAAACATCCGTTTCCGGTTTGAAATTACAAAAAAAAAAATAATAATAATAATGAATAGAACCGATTGCCATTTTTTCTAATAGATAACGGGCAAAGAACTTTTTAAAAAAATTTCACGCCCCTACATCCGCCCCTCTCTCTCTCTCTCTCTCTCTCTCCTACTTTCTCACACTTCCCCTCCTTTCTCCTCCCCCCGGAGTTTTCATTTTTCCGTAAATGATGAAAATCATTAAAATTTTGCCAAAATTTTTTATTAATCGAATAGCCAGATGAACAGTTGTTGGTAATTTTTAAATAATTTCCGGTGAAGTGAATCAATTTTATTTACGCGCAAAAACCCGGAAATAAATTTTACGTAATTATTTAAAACCGAATCAACAACAACCATTTTACCGGAAATGGTTCATTTTAACTTTTTCATTTATTTTATTTTATTTTTAACGAGAAAATTTCTTTTGTTACGATGAAAACACGAAAATGGAAATACGTAAAATTTATTAATTGGCAAAATGAATCTTTGTAACTCTGTCGCCTCCTCCCCCCATTAATAATTAATTAATTAACCGGGGGGAAGAGGAGGGTTTTTCCTAAAAAAATTTCTTTCATTAAAAAAATAAAATGCGGGTGGAGGGGATATAACCATTCGTAACAACTATTTGTGTCAAAAAAAAAAAAAAAAATTTTTTTTTAAACTTTTTAGAAATTTTGCCAAAAAACCAAAAAACAAATTCATTCTTTATTCTCTCTCTCTCTCTTGTTGGCAAATTTTTAATTTTTAAATTTAAAAACCTTGAAAATTTTTAAATTTTCTTACGTGCCCCTTACTCCCCCGCCCCAGCCCCCTCCTCCTCAACCTCCCCCATTCTCCCCACTCCAGATCCAAATTGATCGTTAAATTATGTAATTTAAAAAAATAATAATAATAATAAACGAAACGAGTGCCAAAATACACAAAAAAAAAAAATTTTTATTTTTCATGGGTTTTAACCTGACGTCAAAATTTAAAAATAAACAAAAAATTCCCCTCCCCTCCCCTCCCCCTTTCTTTCTTTTATCCTGCCCCCACGCCTCCTTTCCATCTCCGCAAATTTAAATTTTTTTCGGTTAATTTAAAATTTATTTAAAAAAAAAAAAAAACAAAAAAAATGGCGCGAAAATTTTTCAAAATCAAATCCTAATTAAATTTATTATTATTATTATTATTATTATTTTTTAGGTAAAATCGTTATCAGTAAAACAAATATTATCAAATTAAATTTGCGCCTACCAGCCAAGTAAGAAAGAAAAAAAAAAAATGTTGCGAAGTCATTTAGATTTAATAGGCCGAAACGAGCCGATACAAAGGAAAGCAAAATTCTGGCAATCATACGTAAGAGCACTCAAAGGTAAGATATATACAATCACGTGATAAACAACACGCTATCATCATCATCATCATCATCATCATCATCGTGGTCATCGTTTTGTCTGTCGTTTAAATTATAGGTACCGACGACATGAGAGCACCAGAATCGTCGAGACGACCCTACGGTATTTTCCGGCCTCTATTGACTTCCGAATTTCCCGACTATGCTTGGCCACATTCAAAATCAATTTACGACGATCCAATTCATGCTCACGACAGAGTCACATCACCCGGATACCGTTACGATCCCGTATCACGGGAAACTTACGGAATGTCACCCAGGAACATTTATCCCCATCACTATCCCACTAGGTACCGACCAGGTGTGTATTAAACCTCCTACGAGATTCCCTTTCGACCGGAACCCGCACGATAGAATAAAATATTAAAAAATTATTTAAATACGGTACAATACACATACACGCATGTGTGTGTGTGTGTGTGTGTGTATATGCACGTTCGTTTATTATTCGAGGTATGAAATTTATATATCTATATTACGCATCCTTTGTTTGTTTGTTTGTTTGTTTCGAATTCGAAACAAACAACACAAACAACTGTATATATACATATTAAATACAAACAAAATAAAAATTTTAAACTCATTTTATAGCTAATCGTATTATTATTATTATTAATTATTCGATTCCCCCTTTTTTAACACTCATAATTTTTTCTTTTTCTTTTTTTTTTTGTTTTTCTGCGTATTACGTATGAATTTTTTTTTTTTTTTTTTTTTTACGTATAAATTTCATAACCTTTCAAATAATAATAATGATAATAATAATAATAATAATTTTAAGTAATAATATATAAAAAAATAATTAAAACAATAAAAAAAAACATTAAAAAAAACTTTTTTTTTTTTTTTTAATTTAACCTTTTGCTTACGTCACACACGTTACGTCACGTTTTCTATACGAAAACCCATTGAAAAATATCAATATTTGTGTTACGTTTTCGTCACGCGCACACACACACACACGCGCGTACGCAAACTTTAAGGCAACAGGACACCTTGGAAAAAAAAAAAAAATTTCCAGGCATGATATTAAATGTATATGTGACCTTTGACCTTTGATCATCTCATTTGTGTATTTAGCCCCCCTCGCAAAAAAAATTTCTAGAAAAAAAACAATAATAATAATAATAATAGAAACGTTAGAATGAATAAAGAAAACGTAACACAAATCGACGATGACGACCACGACGACGTGGGATTTAAATTTAACAGTATACAAAAGGTAAGTATGATGATGATGATGACGTCACGTCACGTCACGTTACGTCACTCATCAAAACAAAACAAAACGTTTGTGTACAAAAAAAAAAAAAAAAAAAATTATTTTTGTAACCCCTTTTCAATAATTTTTCCCTAACGAATTTTTTCCTTATGGCAAAATTATATATAAAAAATTTTTTATCTAACGCCACGTTAAAACCACATTAATAATAATAATAATAATAATAATAAAATTTATGTGATTTTAAAATTAATTAATTAATTAATTAACTTTTTTTTCTTTACCTTGTCCTTATTGCAGGCAATTCCACGCATTCTCCCGAATTAATGTATTAAAAATAATAAATAAAAAAAATGCATCATAACAACAAGCAGCATCAGCATCAACAGCAGCAGCAACAGGAACACCAACAGCAAAAGAATCAGCATCAGTAAAAATCAATCTATAAAAAATAAAAAATAATTTTTTTTTTTTTTTTTTTAACTCTCGTGGCGTATAAACATAATCAATCGATCGATCGATCCACCATTTTTTTTTTTTTTTATGTATCATCAAAACACACAAAAGAATAAAGGAATTACCTTCGTTAATAATAATAATAATAATAAATTTTTGACCGTTTTTTTTCTTCTGTTTTTTTGTTTGTTTTAACGACAGGAAGTCACTTGTTATCCAATAATTGACAAATTCGCGATTTCCATCGTCAAATAGTATTGTATAAGTTACTAATCCAATCTAGATTATTCTATGTCGTTTGTTGTTGGATTAATTAGTAAAACCTAAAATAACAAAAATAAATAAATAAAATTTCGCTTTGCTTTTAATAATAATAATAATAATAATAATAACAAAAGAAAAAAAGTCAAATTTTGGCCGGCAAGTGGTTTTCTGTAGCTCACCCTTTTACAAAACGATTCCTTCTTCCGTCATTTACTTCGCTTAGTATCAATAAATAAAGATTTTCCATCTACAATTAAAAACAAAAAAAAAAAAAGTTTAATATAATACCTGTGATGATAATAATGATAATAATAATAATAATAATAATACCTTTGTAAAAAGTCGCTGCTTTCGCTTTAATTTCAATTAAAAAAATGTTAATCTAAAATTCGGCTTTTTCACCTGTAATGGCAAAAATTAGTAAAATATTAGTTAAATAATAATAATAATAGTAATAATAATAATAATAATAATAAATGATGGAATATTTAATTACTTACCGTAAAAAAAAAAAAATTGTTTGTGTGATTAAATGTAAGACAATAATGAAACGAACGATGATTTTAAATTTCTCATTGATGACGTCATTTAAACCGTTAAATGTACCCTGTAAAAACAAAGAGGGGAAAGTAAGGAGAAGGAGGGGAGGGGAAATTATAAATGTTGTTTTTGATAACTAGGGTAGACTGTATGAATTTTATCACACAGGTCGATACTACAACCCCTACACCAACTACCACGGCTACGATCCCATGTACTTGGGAGAAAAAGAACCGGAAGATAAAGAGCCTTATTTGGATTCGTTTACAAAAGAACATCCTCATTACTACCATCCTCACCATTCGACACCGATATATACCGCGAGTAAACCGTGGAATTACACTCCTCTTCCTTTGCATCATAGCAATCCGTTGCCAAAGAGAGATTACACGCCGAAATTGGTCACGCCAAGTGATAAATTAGGTTACGATTTTCAAGGTAAAAACAAAATCGATCAATCGATCAATCAATCAATCAATCAATCAATCATACATAATTATTATTATTATTATCTTTTTTTTTTAAAACATTAGGACAGCCCATATATACGCGTGGAGGACTAACTAGGCGACCGTTAAGCGAATTATTGGAACCGAATACGAGTTTATACTGGCCGAGCGTTGTTAGGGATCCCTGGTGGTGGGATTATCCCGAATTGAAACCTTATCAATCGTCGTACAGGCCCTTATATTCAACTCCGTTACCTTATCACCTTCGCGATAGTTATTTATCACCGGTGAAACGACAATATCTTTGGACAAAACATCCGATACGTCCATTTTGTAAGTTTTTCTTCTTTCCCCTTTTTCTTCATTTTTTTTACTACGAATACTAAACCTTCTTTTGTTTTTTTTTTTTTTTTTTTCATTTTTCTTTATTTTCAGCTGCTGTTTAAATTTTCATTAATGAAGATAAAGAATGAATAAGCTGAAAAAATGGACTGAAATTATTTTTTTTACACACACACAAACACACACAAACACTTAATTCACAACAACAACAACAAACTATTCTAATTACATAATTATCTAATAAATATTCATCTTATCACTACTATTATTATTATTATTATTATTTATAATTACTTTAACGCTCACACGCACACGTACACGCACACGCACACCTATATATATAATTATTTAAAAATTATGTACATAATCTACCACGAATTATAATTTTTCTCTATCATACATCTATCTATCTACATTTATGTATTATTTATTTATTTATTTATTTATTTATTAATTACTCATCACACTCGAAAAACGTCTTAACTATATATATATATATACATATACATACATATACTTAATAATAATAATAATAATAATAATAATCATTAAAATAAAGTAAAAAAAATTATTGTTTCGCACTCGCGCACACACACACACACAAACACACTTAATGATAATATGTATATCTATCATCTATCTATTATTATTATTATCATTTATCTTAATTAATTTTATTATTTTAAATAACAAATAAATATATTTATTTATTTATTTATTTATTATTATTATTTTTTATATTCTTTTTAAAATTATTATTATTGTTGTTATGATGTATAAAAATTAAATATACGATAATTAACGCGATAAATAAAATCATTATATATATAAATAATAATGATAATAATTTAATCTTCGGCCGCAAAAACTAATAATAATAATAATAATTTCTTGTTTTTTTTTTTTTTAAATTAACCAGTTATAATATTTATCTTTCCATCTTTGTTTAACACAAAAGACTTTCAATGGATAAAAGAGAAAGAAAGAAAGAAACGTAACATTTCCTTCTCGATATACTTTTAAATTATGTATAATAATATCGTGATAATATATTATTACCATTTAATAATAATAATAATAATATAATTTTTTTTATAATTGTTTTGCATACCGAGAATTTTATTTATCCTTATTTAACTTTGGTAATATTTTTTGAAAATTATTATGCAACACGTGAGCGTTTAAAAAAAAAATCACAGATTATTATTATTATTATTATTTAAAAACAAATCGTTCATGTCATGTTATCAATGTTTTAAATAAACGAAAAAATAAGTAATAATAATAATAATAATAATTAATGATAAAACAAACGAATAAAAATAAAAAATTAAGACACACATTTACCACACACGTCATCATATATATATATATTCATTTCGGAATGTTTTTCCATTGTAAAAAAAAAAATTAGCGTACAAAAGTACATCATCGCGTGAATACATCAAATACGCAGTCGTAATTTTAAAAAAATAATAATAATGATAATAATAATAACAACAAAAATACTGAAAATAATAATAATAATAATAATAATAAAAATTCATTATGTGAATTTTTAAACTAAAAAACATTCGTTGTTATTTTTCTATCTTTAATTTTAATTAATGACTTAATGAATGGTGGTTGTTTGTCTGAAATTATTTTTTTTTTTTTAATAAAAAACAAAATTATTAATTAATTAATTAATTGTTATCAATAATAAAATAAAATCAAAAAAAAAAAAAAAATTTTTTTCTCTCTCTCTCTCTATGACGTCACTACATGAAAACACGTCGTATACGAAAAACAAAATACTCGTTATCAATGTGTTGATTTTCTCAGTCTTTCTTTTTTTTTTTCTCATTCTTTAAAACTATCGCAATTTCCAATTTTCAATTTATCAACTACTATGTTTACTCCGCTTCCGTTTCCGTTCCCGATTTTAATTCTTCTTCTTCTCCTTCTTTTTTTCCATTCGTCGTCGTCGTCGTCGTCGTCGTCGTCGCCATCTTCGTTGAATTCTCGTTTTTCTCATCGTTTTCTATTTTTTCCCACGACATCGATTCCATACGGCTAACATCATCATCAGTCTTTTTATTTATTAAACAAAGTTTTTCTAATTTTATAAATTCGGTTGTTAATTCCTGAAAAAAAAATTTTATTTTTACCCGCTGATTAGTTAGAGAGAGAGGGAGGGACGGAGAAAAAGAGGGAGGGAAGAAGAAAGCGAGGGGGAGGGAAGGAGGGAAGGAGAAAGCGAGGGGGAGGGAAGAAAGAGAAAGAGAGGGCGGGAAGGAGAAAGAGAAGGAGGGAAGGAGAAAGAGAAGGAGGGAAGAAGGAGAAAGGGAGGGAGGGAGGAGTAAGAGAGTGGGGGGGAGGGAAAACAATCAATTTCTCACCTCGATAAGTTCGCTTCGATCCCAAACGTTTTGATATTTAAATATTATTCTAAAAAGCATCGAGTGGCAATCGAGTAAACTTTCTAGTGAACAATTTTCCGTTCTTTCCGTCAATTCCTTCCATAAATTTTCTAATTCATTCACGTTTATTTTTATTTCGTCGTTCGAATCCTTTTCCGAGTCCAGATCTAATTTTTTCCTACCGGTTTTCCGTTTTTTACACGAATTCATCGCGGGAGCATCGACGAAATTTTTTTCCGGTGAACTAGACGGAGATTTACCATTTTGATTAGACGAAGAATTCGAAACTGAAACCATTTAAAATGAGTCATTGCAAAAAAAAAAACCTATTTCTTATATTACAATAATAATTTGAAAAAATGAATTCCCTACTCGATCTCGGCCTTTTATTATTTTCGTTAAAATTTGTTGAATTGTTCATTTTGACGCTCGTTCCTTGTTCTAATGTTTTATCCGAATCTTGAAATGATCCATCGATCACGTGACAAGAAGATTCGCAATTGCTAAATGATGAATTTAATTCGCTTTTAATTTCTTTTTCTTCTCCATCTCCTCCTTTTCCCCCTCCTCCTCCTCCATTTCCTCCATTTCCTCCTTCGTTTGAATTTTTAGAAGAGTTGGCATTTTTCTTTATCTTAAATTTAAAAAGTAAATTACGTTCACGTCATCATCGATAAAAAACAATAATAATAATAATAAAAAACCTTTTTCCTTAACAATCCTCTCGCCCAATCCATTTTTTTCCTCCTTTTTATTCTTTCCGACGAATTTAAATACGTGCTCAAAGGTGGATCGGATTTCACTTTTCCATTTTCCTTTTTCTTTCCTCCATTGTTTTCCGAATTGATAGATCCTTTCGAATTGCAAGTCGTTAAAAATGGTTCCAACGGATGACTACTATTAACCGTATTATTATTTTCCGTCTCTAAAAAATTTTTTTGTATTTCTGTTTAAAGTATTACGCATGCGTAGATTAAAAATTATCCACATTCGATTTTTCTCACCATTTTCAGAATTATTTTTCTCTTCCAATTTCAACCTTTCCTCTTCTTCTTTTTTCTCACGTCTTTTCTTCGATATTTTTCTACATTCTTCTTCGAAATCCGTATCCATTTCCGCTTTGATCAGAGTGTAAGCCGTGTCACGTAGAGAACATGCTCGGTGCCTTATTAATTTATCTTCCGAATCTCTGCAGAGAGACAATTTAAAAGAAATTGAATTATTTGGTTTTACTTAGCGAAAAAATCCTCGGATAACAAAAATTTACCTTTCTGGATTATATTCCAAAGCGTTTCTCACGATAAGATCAACGTCGAATAAAAATTCTTGAGCGGAATTGTATCGGTGAAGATCGATATTCGTCATCATGGTTTCCAAATCCATTGGTTTTTTAATTATGTTCAAATAATCGGGAACTTCTTTAACGTCGACGGGTTTCGTGAACATAAAAAATCTAAAAAAAAGAGTCAATCATTAAATCAAGTGTGGGGGGGGAGTCGCAACGAGCGAATAAATTCATTCAATCAATCAACTCACTGACGATTCCTCGCCAATTTCGAACAAATATCCCTTAAAAATATTCTAAGCTCCCGAAGTTTGTGCTCTTCTTGATTATGTAATTCTTCCATTTCTAACGAACTCGGAGGGGGCGGCGGAGGAGGAGGAGCTATCGGAAGTTCTTCCCAGTCTTCTTCTTTCGGTTCGGGAGGATCCGGGATTTTCAAACAATGTTCCATAAATAAGGGTTTAAAAAATTTTTCTCTTTCGTCTCTGTTTGGTTTTCTCATGTCCATCGAATCATACTTAAAAATACTTTTTATCTGAAAGAGAAATTTCCTTTTTTTCATTTTCCATTTCAAAGTTTTTCACGCATTTTTTTTCACGTCAAATAATTCACTATTGGTTACCTCACTATTTAAATCGGAATAACTTGAATGACTAGTTCCTAACAATAGTACAGGAGAAGTTATGGGAATGGATTGAATTTTATCTAATAGTATTTCATGGGCAGTGAATGATAAATGGTCCCACCATTTGTCGATGCATGGCAAATAAATTACGGAGGGAGGATTTCTCGTGGCTTCTCGTATTATCTAAAAATAATAAATTAACTTTTTATTTTTTTTTTACTTCCGGAAAAATTCGTTTTAATTTAACTCGGAGCCATTTTGATATTAAATATTTATTACCTGTATGATAGCTTCCTCTGGATTTCTATTACTCAGTTCGAAAATGGTTGATAAACTTATCGTGTGCATTGGAATATGTTCCATAAAATCTAACAGAGCAGGAGCTATGTGACTTGTTTGTCCGAAATTTTCATCGGAGCCGCAGACTACGTAATGTGGTCTATAAATCGGTTTTTTACACCTGAATACAAAAAAAACAACGTAAAAAAATAAAGCAAAACTTGGTAAAAACCGTTAAAAAACTAATTATTTCCTTACAATTCAGTTTTAGAAACAGGTAATGAATGTGGAAATATATTTTTTATAACCGAAATTGATGTATCTAATTGAGCCTCCAAAAGAGGAGCGACGATATCTGATAGACGAGACCGTGGGCTGGGATTCACGCGAGAGCTGGCAGGTATTATTCTACTTTGAGCTATTTTAAAATCTTCTTCCTCGACCTGAATTAAATCAAAAAAAAATTTTTTCAAATAAAATTTATGTACGTTAAGATGAATGAAGGAAAAAAAAAGATGGTAAACTTACGTTGACTGCATCGGCTTGTAAAAGGAGTTTTTGAGAGCTTTTGTAAATTTGAGGATACCGACGACGGAGGGCTTGAACTACCGCTTCGGAGCAGAGCAATCTTAAATCGGATCCACAATATCCGACGGATTTTTCAGCTAAATGCGCCATCAATTGTTGAGACGGAGGTGAATCCCAGGGTTTTGTGTGTATCGTTAAAATTTCCTCTCGTTCCTACAAAATGCAGTAATTAAAAATTTTTCTCTATGGAATAATTCTGAAGTTTTGAAAAAATTGAACAAACCTTTTTCCCTGGTAATGGAAAGTATAATTCCCTGTCGAATCTCCCAGGTCGTCTCAATGCGGGATCTATGGCGTCTATTCTGTTAGTAGCTCCTATAACGATTATTTCCCCGCGATCATCCAAACCGTCTAAAAATGCTAGTAGGGTGGATACAATGCTGGCATGAATTTGATCTTGTTTTGAAGATCTTACTGGTGCTAATCCGTCAATTTCATCGAAAAAAATTATCGATGGTCTCATTTGAAAAGCCTGAAAAAAATTTTAAAATATGTTTTTATTTTGAAAAATATTTTGAATTTAAAAAAAAAAAAAAAATTTACCTGTTCAAACAACAGCCTTAACTGTCGCTCTGACTCCCCAACCCATTTGCTTAAACAATCGGCTCCTTTTCGCATAAAAAATGAAACTTTACGATCTCCTTGAGAGCACTCATTGGCCAATGCTCTTGCTATGAGTGTTTTACCAGTACCTAAAATAAAACCACAAATTTTCCCCTTTGTAACGATTAAATTATTTTAAAAAATGTTTTATTGTTTCCTTATTACCTGGAGGGCCATGAAATAAAACTCCTTTGGGAGGCTGAATTTTAAATTTGTCAAAAATTTCCCTGTACATTAATGGGAAAACAACCATTTCCTTAAGGCATTTCAAATGACTCTCTAATCCTCCAACTTTATCAAATCTAATACTTGTATCTATAGCCATTGGATCAACATCGGCCGGTCCTTTTGGTCCAGCAGAAGTTGCTGGAGTTTTTGCAGAATGAACGGGAGTTTTTTGTAACTGATTTGAATCCGAAGGTTTGTAATTTAATGGCATACAACTGCAATTATTAAATTATAAAATTTATTTTACGAAAGTTGTATTAAAGAAAGTTCCTTTTTTTTTACTTAATGGATAATTTGATCCTTACCGACTTCTGGCTTTGGCCAAACTTTTAGCTTTTTTCCTTTGAAACCTTTCTTCGTCGCTTGATGAGGAATCTTCATTTTTTCTTTGATAACGACTAGGTACCGAACATAAGACTAGTCTAGAGGATCGCCTCGTGGGCCCTTGAAACAATATTTCATATTAATACACATTTGTTTTACTTTTTTTTTTTTTGCAAAACAACAAAAGTCTTTTTGTTTTCATATATAAAATAAGTAAATAACTCACTATTATTATTCGCGACTTGAAAACGTTCCACGGCGGGTTTATTTTGCCTAAGGTGATAAACTTTTCCTTTATCTGCCATGGGTCGCCTTCTTGAAGATTCATCGCTTGAATCATCTCTTCGTAAAGATCTACGACGTCGCTGAACAGGATGAACGCTTGAAGCCTGACTTTCCTCCGATTCCGAAGAATCTGCATTAACGGTAACTCTATTCCTCCTTTCCCTCAGTCTGGATTTTACAGTCATATCAGCAGATGGTGAATAAGGGATTCTTTGTCGCCTTTTTCGTTTAATTGCAGTGTATAAATCTTCACTCTAAAAAACGCGTATTTTAGTTTACAAAAAAAAAAACAGTAATTAAATACCTTAAAACTTACATTATCAACAATTGGTTTAGTATCATTTTCTTCAGTCTGCTGAACTTCTTCATCTCTTGTTGCATCATCATTGCTACTTCCATTTTCAACCGCATTCTCCTGCCCACGATACATTGGAGGATAACCTCTTAAAACAGTTTGAGTACCTAATATCCATGATTGATTAAAATTATCATATAAGAGCTTTCTTTGGCGTTTACTGCGACGCACCCCTGTAAAATATTTTTGTAGTTAAAAATAATGCATTATTATTATTTAAAATTTCATTATGAAAATTAAAAACCAGTAATAATAATAATAATAATACAAACATAAGCCTTTTTAATATATTGACAAACGAAAAAGAAATTGTAATCGTAATAATAATAAGATTAAAAAGAGGAACAGTAACTTAGCCAGTGAAATTCATTTACATTTGCATTTATGTAAAGCAAAGAGTTTGAATAAAATAATTATTAGTTGATAGTACCTTCACCTTCACCTTCAGCTTCTCCTTCGCCTTCAACATCTTGGTCATTATCATATTCGGTTTTGATACCATTTTCAGTACTTTTTTCATTTGTTTCGTTCGCAGTGTTGTTCTCGGTAAAATTATTTTGAGCTAATGTTCTCGATGGCAGAGATGCCTTATTAATTCTTCTATCAGTACTACAATAAAATACAAAATTTTATAATTGGCAATTGTTATTAAAGATAAAATAAAATTTTTCTTTTTAAATTATTTGTCATACCTGTATTTTCTTTTAGATTTAACAGGTGAAAATATTGTTTCATCTTCATCGACATCTTCTTCATCATCATCGTTATATGGGATATCTATATCATCAATATCATCAAAATAATCTATTGTCCTCGTGGATAAACGTAGACGACAAGCTCTGGTAGGATGCTGCTTACTTATCCTATCTAAGAAGCAAATAAGATAATTTTAATAAAAAATGTAACTTTAATTTTGAGGCAGCCCTTTTTTTTTTGAATTGCTTACCCATTGTTCTATAATTTCTTCTATATCTAGTACGTAATTCCCTTCCCCACCTCATATTAGAATCACCTTGGTTTGTGACATGAAAATCCGTATCGTTATTCATATTGATTTATTATTAGCTATTTCACACTCGAATATAAATATATATATATATATACACACACTTATTTAAATATTAATACAATTGAATTTACTATTAAGCATTTTTAATGCATTATGAAAACGTCTTTTTTTAAAATTTAAAAACTTAACTTGAATTTAAAAAAAAAAAAAAAATGGTGTTGGAGCTCGTTTATAAGTTACACATTTAACTAAATAATATTAACGATTCTTCCCTAAAAATGTAGCAAATATTACGAATTATTTATTTGAATAACTTTAAAAAATTATTTAAAAATAAATATTTTTTCAAATAACTCAGCAATGAAAAATTATTTGTAGTAAAAGAAAAAAAGAAAAAAAAAAAAAAAAAGACACACACCTCGAGGATAACCAAAAATTCAAGGTCATTTATAATAAAAATTTATAATCTAAATCCTCTAACTTAATACAAACTATAAAATGTTTGATAAATAAAAACTAACAATAAAATATTTGCTTAAATAATTTTAATTTTTAATTAAAAATTCTATGAATTTTGAACATGTAATCAAACCAACCAAGATGGCTTCGTGAAAACCTCTTTCATATTATATAAAAAAGAGAAAGGGATGAAAATTGTTACGTTCCGATATGTATTCATTTTTTAATTTTATATTGACAATAAAAAAAATTAGTTTAAATTTAAATTTGTATTGTTTTCAATTCAATGAAAACTTACTCAATAAAAAAGAATAAAGGTAAATTTTTCGATGTCAACAATTCGCGGTTATACTTTCAATATTGCCAACTGTCAAAGTGGTAAAAACTATCCAAGAGCTTTTCATTTTTAAATTTATTTGAATAAAATTTTTTTGTCATAAATATAATATCCTGTGGAGTTATTTAATAAATAATACTTATTATGCAATAATTAAATTAAACAAACAGATGCTTTACCAGAATAACCGTTAAAAACGTTTTCTGATATTAAGGATTACAAGCTTACATTTTTTTTATTTTCACAAATCTCGGAAATAGTTTTAGCATTTTTAAGATAAAAACATTTATTCTATAAAATTACATTTAATTTAAATCACAACACGTCGAATAAATAATAATTTAATTTATTTTAATGAAAATTATATTTTCGTATAAATAAATAAAAAATTAAGTTGGTACGACTGTAGTGTTAACCATTTTGGGGAAGTTAAGATTTATGCTAGATTTGCAAAAATATAGGTAAGTTTTTTTTTAAATTCACATTTTAACACGAGATTAATTTCGAAAGCTCCACGTTATTTAAAATCATTTTAAACGATTGATCGAAAATTAATCGATTCGATTGTGCCAATAAAGTATTTACCGTTCTTATATAATCTAAAATCCGGTATTTAATAGCGTCCATTTTCGCGCCGTATCGATTTTCTTGCAGTGACGCCTATCAAAATAAATGCCGTATATATATATATATATATATAAATAACTAATGTTTTTAATTATTAGATTTTTAAGATTTTCTGGAGCTTATTATGTCTCGTTACCGTGATTCCGGTTCTGATTGTAAAGTTTACGTCGGCGACCTTGGTTCTTCAGCGTCTAAACAAGATTTAGAGGATGCTTTCGGTTATTATGGACCATTGAAAAATGTATGGGTTGCTCGACATCCTCCAGGATTTGCATTTGTGGAATTTGAAGATCCAAGAGATGCAGATGATGCCGTACGTGGTTTAGATGGAAGGTTTGTCATTTTATTTAACATTCGACGAGCTGAAATTTTTTTTTTTTGTTGTTGTTGTTGGAAATGATCAAAATTAAAATGAAAAATAAAATGGATTTTATTTTTCATTTTCACAATATTATTTTATTAACGGATTTAATTCTAAACAGATCAATTGCCGGTCGTCGAGTTCGTGTTGAACCATCAAATGGTATGGCAAGGCGTAGGGGTCGGGACAGAGGCGTTAGTAGAAGAGGTCGTCCCTTTCATCCAGATGATCGATGCTACCAATGCGGAGAGCGGGGTCATTATGCAAGAGACTGTAAACGTTACCGCCGAGGAGGTCGAAACAGAAGGTAAAAAAAGAAATTCATAACTCATATATGTGAGACTTCACGAGGAGAGCATTTAAAGAAGAAGTAAAAATCCTTAAACGACTAATAATAATAATAATAATAATAATTAAGCTTAAAAAACTATATTTTGTATTCGACATTGATCCGATCAAGAGTCTATCTAGTTTTCTATCTCTGCTTTTATTTTATTTTTCTTTCTTTTACATAATTAATTATCCTTCTTTACATTTCTTATTTTTTTTAAGTAGAATATTTTAATTGCATGTTATTCGTTTTATTAATCGAATGTTTGTGTTGAATGCCTGTTGCATTATAAGAAGATGATAATAATAATAATAATAATATTTTAAATAGTTGTAATGCGATTAATTATTTTGGGTTTAATTATTAGTTTTAAGCCTCTGCTTTGTATTATCGATTATTTATATATTAATTTCTAGTCATTCTTTTCAATGTTTTTTTTTTTTTTTTGTAATAGAATAATCCGCCATGTTTTTAGGTAAATTTTTTTTTATGATCGGATATTATTATTATTATTGTAATAACAACATTTAATAAACGGGATAAACGCTTTTAAGAGAGCAAAAAAACAAAAAAAAAAAAAAAACTCAGAGTTATTTTTTATTCGATAAATGATGAGAATAATTTACCCGAACAAAAAAAAAAAAAGAAATTAAAAAGTTTAATGAAATATTTATAGGGGTTGAGAAAAGAGATTTAAGAGGTACGCGTGAGTAAGCACTTCAGGTATCTACACAACCAAGCTTTATCTCTCGTGTGAGACCATCGATTTGAATTGCGAGAGATTGACAAAAAGAGACAAAGAGAGATAGAAAGAGAAAGAGAGACAGGCACAGAACTAACTCCCTGAGATCTTCTCTCGTTCGTTGTTGTATTGTTAAATGATATAAGAACCAATTCACACTTCTCTAGACTCTCACTAGACTCCGCCAACACACACACTTGTATTGTATTCATTATTTTAAAGTGAGTCTTGATCATTTTTCTTTTTTTTTTTTTTTTTTTTTTTTTTTTTATTTAAAAAAAAAAAATTAAATATATAAATAATAAAAAAAAAGCAAAAAATTTATATAAAAATATTATTATTATTATTTTCTGTTTTTTTTTTTTTTTTTGTTTTTACAATCGCGTCGAAAAATTTCTTTTTTATTATCATTATTTTATCTCACATTTCGTCATACCCCCCCTCCCCCCTCGAAACGTTCTTTAAAAAGAAAGCTTTAAGACTTACTATCGAACAAATAAAAAAAGAAAAGTCGAGTCGTGTACTTAAATGTTTTTTTATTATAGTATTCGATCATTATTATTATTATTAATATATTTTCTCCCTTTTCTCCTCCTTCCCTTTCTCAATTAAAAGCTGGTTTTCGTAAAAAATAATTTTTTTTTTTTTTTTTTCTTTTTGTTATTGGTACCTCTTAGTAAAAAAAAAAAAATTCTCTGGGATTTTTATTAAATTTTTTTTTCTCTCAAAAAGGCTCTAATTGAAGCGTGTCCCCAAAACGTAATTTTTTATAAAAAAAAAAAAAAAAAAGGATTTTGTTTTACGAAGGATATAGGAAGTGCAGATACACACACGCGCACACACACACACGCACACAGGGGAGTGAAAAATTAAATTGGAAAACGTTATCACGTGTTTTTTTTTTCTTTTTTTTTTTTATCCCATCATTCAGGTCGAGATCGTTTACGAGATCGAGATCACGTGATCGTCGTTCACGTTCCCGAAGCAATTCGAAAAGTCGAAGCAGGTCCAAGTCTAGGGATAAGAAATCAAAATCATCGGATCGTCGATCGAAATCAAATGAGAAAAGGACTCCGTCGAAATCGAGTTCGAAATCCAGATCTCGAAGCAGGTGAATAATTTATATATACCCACACGCACCCGAGAGGGACGCGTGTGTGCACGTGTGCACGTGCGGTAAATTTTAAACTAATTTTATATTTTTTTTTTTTTTTTTTTTTTTTTTTTTTTTTAGATCTCGCAGCGACGACAAACCGAACGGTACCAAAAGCGACGAATAAATTATATATTTAAACTTGAAAACAACGCTCTACCAGAACTTTGTAATTTTTTATCTCTCTCTCTCTTTTTTTTTTTTTCTCTCTTTTTATTATATATATATATATATACAATATGAAAAAACAAACAAACAATGGAACAAACGGAAAAAAAAAAAACTAACAAACGGGGGAAAAACGGGGGAGGACAAACAAACAAAAGAAACCTAATGTAAATATATTTCAAAAAGAAGACGATGAAGAAGAAGCAGAAGCAGAAGAAAAAGTAGTAGAAATAGAAATGATAACAACCATAATAATAATAACAATAATAATAATAATAATAAATGCTGTTGTAAACCATGCTTGTAATGTTGTGTTGTAGCTCGTTTTTTTTTTTTTTTTATTATTTTAATTATTCAAAATGAAAATAATTAATAAAAATTGGATTTATATATATATATATACATACATACATATTTTTTTTCCATAAGTCAATTATTATTATTATTATTATTATTATTATTATTATATTATCGTCTGGTAGATGTTTTATTTTGCACACGCACACTTGGTAGGATATTTAATTAATTATTTTAAACGTTACCGAAAGCTACGAGAGTGTGTTTACTACACGTTTTATGTAATTCGGTTTAAACTTGTGTCAATTATTCGCATATATATATATAAAATGCATACATTTAATTATTATTATTATTATTATTATTATTTTAAATAAGTTAATTTTGATTGGTTTTAAAAAAAAAAAAATTAAATATTATTATTATTATTATTATTATTATTAGTAGTAGTAGTAGTAGTATAAGAATAACGATTTGCTGTGTTTTCGTATAAAAATATATGTATACCTACACATTTATTTATGGATATCGGTTTAAAAAAATTATCATTATCATTTGATTGATTGATTGATCGATTGATTGGTATTTTAAAATGTAAAAAAATATTATAATGTCGTCGTGGTCTTTGTCAGGTTTTTTTTTTTTTACTACGAATTCAATGTCGGTTATAAATAAAAATATTTACGGTCAATGATAGTCAGCGGGTGGTAGGTAGTAGATAGTTTGTTGTTGTTGTTGTTGTCGGTACCTGATAACAAAGTGCATATGTCATTGTTTAAATGATTAAATACTTTAATGAAAATCTATTCACGTATGATTTACAATGTGAATTTTTAAAAAAATTAAATGATTGAAGGGATGTTGGTTAGAAACCTCCTAGAAAACAAAGTGGAAATGATTCGACGGTTAAACATAACTTTTTACTTCCGGATGGCAAACGTTATAGTTAAACCCGCGGTTAAACATTTCCATAAACCTAACCTTGACATTGATAGTAATTGATTACGTGTTTTCGAACGAGTTTCTAGAAAATAATTTCAATAAAATGAACTTTTTTTCGTACCGAGACATTTATCAAAGGTAACATTCGTTAAAGGTCATTTATCAAAACGATCCGTTGTGTAAAATTTTATACATACTTATTAATAATAATAATAATGAAAAACTTGATTTGGTTTTTGGATCAGGTGAAAATATATATATATATATATAATAAATAAGAGTATCATCTCGTATTTAATTATTTTAAATTTATAAATAACCGATCGTCATAGTGCGAGACCTTTACCGCGGTAAAAATTTGCAAAAAGAAAAACCGGATATTAAAATGGTAACCGTGAAGGTCCCAGCTGATTTTTTTTTGCACCTCCCAATTTCTTGGTTTTTATTTTCTTTTTTTTCCATTCACTCACCATTTATTTTAATCGAAATCTTCCATGGTATGAGTGAAAGACCTTGGTCTCGAAATCGAAAAATCATGCAAGGCTATACGGTATACGCGAATCAACCAATTATCTGAGATGGCCATTATTTGATCAAGATAATTAAATAGGTGGTGGTTAAATAAGAAAAAATCATTTCTTATTTTTCGCATCTATCGTGAGCACAACAACAAAAAAAAAAAAAAAAAATGAATACTACGATAATAATAACTATTTGTGCTTTTTTTATAATTATATCTTTCCAAGGTTGGTACTTTTGTTTATTTATTTATTTCGAAAGGGTTGTGAGTAAACGGAAACGAAAATTCAAATTTTTCAAAAACGTTTATTCTTTTGTTTAATTATTTTTAGATTCTAGTAACGGATTATTATTAAATGTTTTCGATAAATCATTTTTAAGATCGAATACTTTGGATAATGAAATGATTTATACCTTATATACCAGGTACGTTTATTTTATTAAATATAATATTAACGTTTGGTCGTATGTGAAAAAATTTTTAAATGTCGATATGTCGTTGTCGTATTATTATTATTATTATTATTATTATTAGTAGTTATTTTTTATTAATCGTATTCTAAAGTTTAATAAACCTATACGAAACATAAATTTAAACTTCGTAATAAAAGTCAAAAATAATAAAAAAGAAATTTTTATACGTTTGTTTATCATTTCAAAAAAAAAAAAAATGGCGCCGGTTTAACCGAAATCAAATAACGTTCGATATCTAACACAAATCCCATTATTATTATTATTTAATTTTTGCTTTTTTTTAAGTGTGTGTGTGTGTGTGTGTGTAGTTTTATCATTTTAATTGATTTTTGTTATTATTATTATTATTAATTTGCACATTAAATTTATAGGAATAACCCGCAAGGTGTTAGACTTTATAATAATGATAGATCAAGTGTTTTGTCATCTAGTTTTGATAATACACTACCAACAATATTTGCTACACATGGATTTATGGGTTTAGGCGATTCACCTTGGATAACGGAAATGAAAACAGGTACAGTGTGATTTTAATTACTTAAATTTATCAACGAGAAAAAATTATTTTGAAAGAATTAAATTGAAATGATTGATTTTTTCCTAATAGAATTTTTAATGGCTGAAAATGTCAATTTCATATCGGTCGATTGGTCACAATGTGCGCGTAACATATTCTACGATCAAGTCGTTGTTTGCATGAAAGAAAACGCGTATAAATTGGGACAATTTTTGATATTTTTACAAAGGGAAGCAAATTTAAATTTTTCAAACACTCATCTCATAGGACACAGCCTGGGAGCACACATGATGGGATTGGCAACAAAAGTACTACCATATAGAAAAGCAATAGGAAGAGTTACCGGTAATTAATTAACCAAAACCGAATCCCTGTATATTTTAAATATCGTATGACATACCTGAATTTTTTTTTAAATTAGGTTTAGATCCAGCAGCACCTTTATTCGAACACGTTCCACCATCAGAAAGGATAAATCCTCACGTTGCACAATTTGTAGATATAATACATTCCAGCATAGTATTCGTTGGTCTTAAAAAACCCCTTGGAACCGTTGATTTTTATCCAAACGGTGGTTTTTTTCAACCTGAATGTGAACATTACAATATCAGTTAGTTAACAAAAACAATTTTTCATGTTTCAGACATATTGTATAAAGTTTTTTTAAATTACATTGAAACAAAAATGTTTTACTTTACAGCTTGCCATCACAGAGCATCACAAAAATATTTCATAAATACAATTAATTTGTCTCAAAGATACAAATATCCAGCCAGACAATGTCCATCTGTTCATCATGCAAGCAAAGGTATATGCAATGGTCAAACTGGTTTTATGGGTTATGAATCTTACAGAAGGTAAATTTTATTTAAAAGTAATTAATGGTGAGAAGGAAAATCAATCTACTCACTCACACAAAGTAATTAATTAATTAATTTTTCTTTTTTTTCTTTTTTCCAGTCATCCTGGAATATATTACATCAAAGTCACAACGACCAGATGATTAATTTAATTGTTAATTATTAATATATATCACTTATTATAAATAAAATAATAATAATTTCATTGTTATTAATTATTATTAAAAAAGATCAATTTGCTCAAAATACATTCAAAAAAAAAAAAAAAAGAAAGAAAAACCCTGAAAAAAAAATATTATAATTAGTTAAACGAGTATTTAAGGACTCGTAATAAAGTGACGTAAATATTAATAATATTAATGATGATGATAATAATAATAATAATAATAAAATTTTATAAGTATATATATGTGTGTGTATTTATAAATAAATTCGTCCTTTAATAATAATTAAGTTAACCTTTTTAAGAATTGAAGTTTCCAATCAATTTTAATATGATAAATAATCATGTTTTATTTAAATATTTTATTTATTATAATATAAATAAATAAATAATGTATTTATTATTGTTAAAATGAAAAATAAGTGATTTTATATCAAGTAAAAAAAATTCCTTAACGTTACAATTTTGTTTTGTTTTTTTTTTTAATTTCAAAAACGTTTTGAAAATTTTCTTT